TTGCCCGGATGGGGCACGGGAACAGAAACCCAGAGCCTCCCCTTTTCTGAGGGGAATTTCGGGAGGGGAGCACAACACAGCTTGCCCGAACTCCAGCACCACTTGTGCAGGAAAAGCGAACCCAGTTTGGGTATCCAGCACCTCAACTGCTGGATAAAGCTGGGGTCCCTGGCACCTCCCTCTAGCCCAGATGCCAGCACTCTGCATCTCAGGGAGCTGAGCTCCCATTTTCCCCTGAGCTTCTTTTACTTTCTGACTGCCAGTGGAGAAAACCCATGATCTACATTTTTGTGCAGCTGGCTAACCATTTTTAGACATTCCTCAGACGTTGTGCATAGGGAGCATTTAACTCAGAGCTAAAGGCAGTAGAGCATTTTAAGCATGACAATGCCGATGCTGTTTCTTTTTCTGGTCCATGCCTACAAAATTTGTCCAAAAATAATCAGAAAAAGAGAGGGATTAGAACCCAGGAGATTTAACTTTCATTCCCTTTCTCCAGCTGTTGGCCAAATCTCTTTCTATCACCTTTACAGTAATCAAGTTATTTTCTCTTTTGTGTGAGCAAAAAAAAAAATCTACTTGTTATAATCTAAGGCTGATTTTGTTACTTATTGGTGATAGCTATCATTGATCATCTGTAGCAGTTACAGGTAGAGGAACCTTCTAGAAATTAATTTTGAGAGTGGTAGTGACAGCAGCTAAGCACAAATTTATTAAAGACAGACCACATACTGCAGATGATATAAGGGGTGGATCACATACTATAATTCTCTTTTTTTCACAGGTTTTTTAATTCAAGAAGACAAGCCCATAATCTATCAATGTAGTAGATAAAAATGTAATGCCGAAGGAGAAAGAATGGTCTTCTACAATGTTATGTATTGAAAAGTATAACTTTCATGCTGGATCAAATCCTTTGTAGTCTCATTTAATCATAGACTATGTTGGAAATACAGATTATTATCTAATTATGTGATTATTTTTGTGGAAATTCTTGTCTGCATGTCTGCAACTAAAACTCTAAAGCAAAAATAATCTCAAATTCTATCTTGGCATTATTTTTTTATGTTATTTATAGTATTTTAAAATCTTAATAATATACCTGTATTTTTCATGGGACAGACACCAGAACTAAGAGCAGGTAACATATTTTATGCATTTTTTTTCAAAGTACCTCCTTCCTTTTCTTCCCATTTTCTCAGTGCTGTCTAATTTTCTGTCCTGGGCCTCTTATGTTTTGGGTTTGTTTTCCTCTGTCATAGGTGTTCTCAATGGGCATATATAGGTCTTGTTGACTATAAGCTAGTGAAGGATGGTTAAAACAACTTTTTTTCTGTTGGGACAAAGAAAGACTTTCACTGAAATAAATTGTTTAGAGGAAGAGCTTTATTCTGTTTGAAATTGCCCATGAGAATATATGTTTGAAAAAGAAACAAGTTAATATTTCCTATAGGAAATGCATCTGACTCATCATTTATTAATGCATAAACATCATATTAATATTTCCTGTACAATTTAATAGCAAATTCTGAATAGCAAGCAATTCTAATTTTTTTTCATATGGTTATTAATGATAACAGAATTGCTGACAAGCACCTTAAATTACAATGTCATTCACATAATACTGTAAATCTGTTTTATTACTTAAGGACTTGAATAAGTTAAGTTTTTGATCTCATGAGCATTTTCAGTCACTAGGACACGATTTCACACAGTAGTAGTGATGAGTGACAATTAAGACTTAAAAGAGAAAAAAAGAACTTAAAAGAGAAAATTCTTTTCTAACCTCTGCAAAGAAACTGCAGGTGTTATAGTTCCCTTTGCCATAAAGTTTCACGATGCTTCTGAAATTTCTGAATGGGAGCTCATCATGTGAGATATGAGAGCAATGAGTTTTATATTTCAACTTCTGTTAATTGGTCCTAATTACTTGAACATTCCAGCAAATCCCCGAGTCTCAGTGGAAGCAAAACTGTTGTAAAACTCT